CACACACACACACACACACAATCTCCTACTCACTCAAAGTTCGAAGCCCACGAAGAAACGAAAGCAACAGACATGAACGAAAAACCAGAGTTAACTCACCTTCAGTCATCAGTCATCGGGGCGCGGTTGTCCAAATGCCTCGACGCAATGCATTGCCCAAGCCTCAGCGACCAACCTTCAGGATGCAGAGTCCAACCTCCAGCATGTAAAAGAGCTTAGCAACAACTCTGGTTGGGCGTGTGCGTGTGCGTGTGCGTGCGTGTCTATGTGTGCGCGTGTGCGCGTGCGCGTGCGCGTGCGTGTGCGTGTGCGTACGAGTGCGTGCGAGTGTGTCCGTGTCTGTGTTCTGTGTGGGTGTGTTTGTGTTTGTGTATACGTGTGTGCATGTATGTGTGTGTTGTCACTGTTGTTTGCATATGTCTGTGTATGTGTGTTGTCATGTTCGCTATACACAACCCCACGAAAAGAGAGCGTTTGTGTGGGTGTCCTCAGTAGAGCAAAGTCGAAGTCGACCTTACTACCGTATAGCGAAGTCGAGGTGTAGCATAGTGCCGCAGAAGGGCGAAGTCGAGGTCGGGTCGAGGTCGGGTCGAGGTCGAGTGCCGCAGACTACAGCAGCAAAGCTGAAGTTGACTTGAGGCTATTCAGGGCAGGATGAGATAGATGAGTACTAGCAAGAAAAGGTAAGCCGCGCATCTTCCCATGTTCCAGCCGAGGGTTCACTGTCATGGAGACGTTCGAGATGGAACGGACGCGTGGCTGGGATGTCGGCGGAGGTTGGGATGTCAGCGATACGCGGGGGTGGTTCCAGCGGAGTTTTGCGAGGGGTCTTTTTCTCGACGCATACTTATCGGGTCTTGGGGACTATACACTTGCTGTTGCTCAGGCTTGGGCCAGTTGCGGCCTCGAGTTTCTGAACACGTCTGCAGCGAGGCGTTGAGGAAACCCGACGCTGCCAAAGGGACTTCTTTTCTTTTTTTTCTCTCAAATTATTTTTGCCTTTCACAACGTTCCTACCACTAACTACTCCTAAGACAATACGGAGGGGACCCCTGCAATGATAGGGCCTCGCAAACGAGGTAAATCATGTTGCCCCCCGCCCCAACAGCGGTGGTCGGAGATGGGGTGGGGCCTACGGTGGGGTTCCGGCTAACGCAAAGACCGAGCATTTTGCCAGTGGCTGTGCCTCCCTTTCTCATCTTCCCCACCCCTCATCGAGTAGCAGCAGAGGCTATGGCCAACACTCCCACACACCACACACAACCCACTCGCTGAGGCTATGGCCAACACACTCCCACACACCACACAAAACCCACACTGACACCCGTTGTCGTAGCAAACACCCTTACAAGGATGCTTGCCGTTGTTTTTTAAGGTCGCACTGGATGCGGCCTTGATAATAAAAGTGCGCTGATAAAAATGACCTCGTCGGGGTGCTCACCTCGGCAACCTCGCCCATGGCGAGAGTCCAAGCCAAGTACGATCGAGTAATAAAAGAGTGTGTGGGGCACGCATTATTGCGTGGCACGGTAAGATGACCATAGTCGTCGCCAAGACCAAGCCCGCAAACGAAGGCCTCGCGCAAAGACATGGGAAGGAATAAGATTGACCAAGATTGGGTTGCAGTCCTTCCGAACCAGGAGAGCGGACCCCTAGCTTAGCCTGGACTTAGAGTTTGGGGGGTGACCCACACCATCATCCATAATATATGATAATATGAACGAGTTATTATTATTATTATTATTATTATCATTATCCTCCCTCTTAAGCATCATTGGCTGGGGGGGGGAGGTCGATAGTCCGCTGTGCGCCGGAATCGGGTCGAAGTTTCAGTGGGGGCCAGCGGATGAAGGCGATCGAGAGCGGGTGGACGTGCAGAGCGGCGCGTGTACCGAATTGTTCAAAGTGTACCGAATTGTTCACAACACACCATTAAACGTGAGAGCGCGCTCCCGAGGCGGGGTAGATGACGAGCGTCGATGCGGATGAACATCTCGGAGGAGAGCCCTCCGATATGCGAGTGTCAAGCCAGCCGTCGTTTTGTGCTACCTTTTCTTTTTTTTTCTTTTTTTCGGTCGCCGTAACGGCTGTCGTTCCTTTTTTTTTTTTTTTCCCATTTTTGGGGCAGTCGTCGACCGTTGTTCCCCTTTTTTTTTTTTTTTTTTTTTTTTTCGTTGTCGTTTTCGATGTGTTTTTTTTTTTTTTCGTTTTCGGTCGTTGTTTCCCGCTCGCTTTCCGCTTTTCTTTTGCTTCGTCGTCGCTTCCCGCTTTTCTTTTGGTTTCGCCGTCGCTTCTCGCTTTTCGTCGCGCGGCCGATTTTTTTTGTTTTCTGGCAAAAGGCATCGGGGCGGTACACACCCACCCACCCACACACCAACCAACCACCCACACACACACACACCACCCACCCACACGCACATACACACACACACACATATTAAGATTATGAAGTTCGTCGTTGATGGTTGTCGTGGAGGTTTGAACCCACGCACAAATTTGAGATACGCAACTGCCCTAATCACTCAGGTCGACTGGATCCCTGTGTGTTTTGGGGAACTGCTTCTTTATGAAGTGTATCCAAAGTCAGGCAGCTAACGGGTCAGAATGTGCCTGTGTGTTCAAACCCTAACGTTCAAGCTGCACAGTGTGGAAAATGAGTCCAGTCCCGCAATTTTCAAGCGCCAAATCTGACGATTTTTCGCACTCAGACGAATTGAAGAAAAAATATGAAAATTTGGAATCATGTAGATCAGGTTGTGATCTTTCTAGAAAAAATATCAAAAAAATGGAAAAAAAAAAATTTAGACCGTGAAATAAATGCCGCGCTGTTTCATTGCATTCTCCATTTTTGTCATTATTGCACGTGTTGGCCAACGGGAAATGTACCTCGATTTCCGCGATTGTTTGCGCTCAGAAGGATGAATCCACAACTCTGAAAATTGATAGGCCTGTAGATTGGATCGTGATATTTCTACGAAAAATAGTTAAAAAACATAAAAAAATATTTACGATCGTGAAATAAATGGCAAGCCAATTCGTTCTACATTCAATTTTTGATGTTTTTTGCTACTGTATTACGTGTCGGCCAACGGGAAAAGTACCCCAACTTCCACGATTTTTTGCGCTCAGACGGATGACTCTACAACTCTGCAAATTGAAGGGCCTGTAGATTTGGTTGTGGTCCTTTTAACTAAAGAAATTCAATTTTTTTTGAAAAAATATTAAGATCGTGAAATAAATGTTGCGCCAATTCGTCACGGGGGCACACACACTTTCACTTTCACACACACACACACGCACACACACACACACACACACACACACACACACACACAGACGGGGGCACACACACACACACACACACACANTTGCGCCAATTCGTCACGGGGGCACACACACTTTCACTTTCACACACACACACACACACACACACACACACACACACACACACACACACACACAGACGGGGGCACACACACACACATACACACAGACAGACACATACACACACACACACACACGCACGTAACACACACACACACACACGCACGTGACACACACACACACATACGAACACACACACACATACGAACACACACACACAAACAAAACACATACACACACACATTCATCATTCAAACGCATCTTAGGCAGATTGTCGGGGTTAAACTTCCTAATAAATCGGTGAAAATCCGACAAAACAGTCTGGCACAGTCCGAAGTGTGGGGGCAAGGGAGCTGACCCGTAACTTTGGAAAAAAAATAATTGCTCTACGACACTCTGCTCTGCTTTACGCTACTCTTCTTTACAGCATTCTATTCTACGACACTCTACTCTGCTCTACAACACTCTACTCTACTCCACTCTACTCTACTCCACTCTACTCTACTTTACTCTGCTCTACTCTACTCTTTTTTTCTCTCCTCCCTGACACTCTACTACACTCTACTCTACATAACTCTATTGTACGACTACTTTACTTTACTTTACTTTACGACACTACTGTGCAACACTCTATGACACTTTACTCTACGACACACTACTCTACGACACTCTACTCTACGACAATTTACTCTACTCTATGACACTCTATGAAACTCTACGCTACTTTACGACACTCTACGACACTCTCCGACACTCCACTCTACAACACTCTACTTCACTCTACAATATGACACTCTACTCTACTCTACTTTACAACACTCAATTATATCCTACTCTACGTCATTCTACTCTACTCTACTCTACTCTACGACACTTTACTCTCCTCCACTCTACTTTACGATACTGTACTCTACTGAACAAAAATCTACTCTACTCTACTATACGACACTTTATGACCTTCTATTTTACTCTACTCTACGACACTTTACTCTCCTCCACTAAACTTTACGATACTGTACTCTAGTACACAACAATCTACTCTACTATACTATACGACACTTTATGACCTTCTATTTTACTCTACTCTACTCTACTCTACTCTACTCTACGACACTTTACTCT